AAACTATCACATAGGTCAAACATTGGTAAGACATGCAAAGCCAAACAAATTTACTATTAATAATGTAATTAGTGACATTTATTAGAAGATACGTTTACTTAAGCTCTTTTCATATATAAAAAATGGTATTTTCCTTTTGTATTAATAATTTATAATCTCATAAAAGGCATTAATTCAATTTAATTTTGTAATGATTAAAGTAATGTTACTTTTCTAAAAAATTATGGATATATTATTTTATTGAATATTTTCTTTATACACTTCAAATTAAAAATATTTAACAAATTGAAGCAACAAATGTTTAATTAGATCTATATGAAAATTGTACATAATAAAAGTTGTAAAATAGAATTTCAACATAACAGGATTTTTATTTTATTTTGAATAAATATTTTTTTTAAAAGATCAAAGTTAAATTTGTTTTACATTCATTATATCAATTTGTTTAAATAAAAAAACAGATGCAACTAGAATATAAACATAATTTTTGATGTGAAAGTAGATTCCTCTTGCATATATATATATATATATATATATATATATATATATATNTTCCAGATCCTGCAAAATCCAAATCAAAAACATTTTAAAATTCTATCCCCTCAAAAGAATTGCCATGATTCTATCCCCCACCCGGTGGTTACCCCGCGCCGGCTTACGGCGTGAGGGATTATTCTCCTGCTCCGCAGGGCTATGGGTACTCTCCCTACGGTGCTCCGCCACAGGATGCCTATTACTCCGCGGCGCCGCCCGGTGGGTATCCTTACAATGCGCCTACGCAGGGCTACGGTGCGCCACAGCAGGGCTACGGTGGTGCGCCACCTCAGAGTGGGTACGGTTATAATGCGCCTCCGCAAACGGCGTCGTATGGGCAGGGGAGCGCAAACCGATGACCATTTGAGACAAGTTTTTGGGCAGTATGGAGAGTTAGTTCACGTGAAGATTCCAGCTGGCAAGAGATGTGGATTTGTCCAATTTGCAGACAGGTAATTTAATCATTGAAGTAATTTATATATATCTTGGTAACTTGTCTAAATGCAGTGTCCTCTGATTGTGCCGTGATTTTTCATGTTTATGCACCAGGAGCTGTGCAGAAGAAGCTTTGCGGGTTTTAAACGGCACACTTTTGGGTGGACAAAATGTTCGGCTTTCATGGGGCCGAAGTCCTTCAAACAAACAAGTAAGCAATGTTACTGAACTGTGGTCATTCTGATATGCTTTATCCTTGTTAATTGATTTTTATAATGAATTTGGTTTTCATGGATGACTCAGGCCCAACCAGATGCGAATCAGTGGAATGGCATTAAAAAAATCACCGAAGCGATCTAACAAATTATGAAAAAGTTTTAGTGTTGAATGTTATTGAAATTAAATAATTAAATATTTTAATAGATGATTAATATTTTAGAGATCACCTGAATTTATTATTTTGGATGATACTTCACAATGAAAACAGGTCAAGTTTTAACAATAGAAAAGTTGATTGACATAAATTTAAGCTGATGTTTTTTGAAGAATTTTTACATTTGTCCTGCGCGAAATAGCGAGTATTTTTAATGACAATGCATATTTCTCTTGCCTCTGTTGAGGTACAGGATATCGCTTTACAAAGTTTCACCTGTATTTTTTTTGTCCATAGCAGAACCTCAAAGTTATAAATTAGAATATTTGTTTTCATACTCACTTTCTCTTTGTTCTTACCAAAAGTATCTCCATAAACAATGCTACTTTTAGCCAAACACTGACCCAATTGTTGATATTCATACACAAGCGAAGAGTTCATAATTTGCAACAGGACCAACCGGCAACAAGTTATATTTCTTCACATACCAAGAGCTCAGTAACAGGATTAAACTAAAAACAAATGGTAAGATTACGTAAAGACAGACCAAAAACAATGTTGAAAAGGAAACTCATTTATTAGGAAATGTGGCAGCAAAAACAGAAAGTAAACAGCATCAGTGTTTGCTACCAGGCCTCATTCAGATGATGTACACCAGGCCTCTTAAAACAGCATCAGTGTTTGCTACCTTAACATTAAGAAGATATCCAGCATTAAAAGTTCCTTCAATGACACCACTAACTAACTTCCCTACCATTTCATCGTCACAATCATTAGTTGTACCAGTTGTTTGGCTGGAGTACAACACATTGTCAGAATCAGGAATTACAGCTACATTCTCCCCTTGAACTGCACTTCCTTCTTTTCTTGGTCGACCACGTTTTCGTTTCACTGGAACATTTAAAGGAGTACCTAATCCATGATTCTGTTGGTTCATCTTCCAGAATGCCAATTACAGAGTTCTCTCTAGAAAATATATCTGAAAAAGAGAGAAATGTTATTCTTTGACCAAATAAAGTATGTCTGATTTCCAACATTCCCTAATCGTAATGCTGGATAAAATCAACAAGTGAATTTAAAAGAAAAGTATGATTACCCAGAAACACTAACTCCTTCCTTTGAAAAAAAAAACAAGAAAGAAAAGAAAATGTAAGTATTTCAGCACCTGAACAAACAAATTTCCTAGTGGGAAAAGTTAAACATTGTTTTTTTATGCAGCAGACAAAACAATTCAAAACTTCAAGGGCAGAGACATTCTCACAATATTTTAACAGTTGTTAAGCGATGTTATCATTTAAATGAGATCAATATGGCAATGATTCATACCCAAAAATTATTAAATTTTACAATTTCTAATAACTTATATACGCTCTGAAATTAAAATAACATTGTAGAAAATAGTTGTTGGATTCAAGGTATTCATAATGCATGTGTAATAACATGTAAGCTAGTGCGAATGCAGGAGCAGTTGTTCTAACTTGGATCAAACCCCTAAAATAGCAACGGAACAGATTTACAAGAGTAGCAAAAATAAAAAAATAAATTTGATTCTCGAACATCGCAGAAAAGGAAAATTGTAAAATGCAGCGTAAAAGAAAGCATGGAAAACTCACAGATGGGTTAGGGCTATGGGAGCGAAATGGGATGGATATAATGAACGACAAAAACTGTAACTTTTGTGGCTATGGCGAGGAAACGAATGTTGTCGCCTTTAATATATTATTTAAAACAAAAAACGAAAAAGACAAAAGAAAGAGAGAAAAGAAAGTGAAGAGTGTTGGATCTATCTCTGTTGGACTTTCTTTCCAACGCCAACCGCGAACCACCACTGCTCCGTCCCACGATCACTGCCTGCTTCTGTCTTCTTTCTCGGACATGCCCTAATCTCGAACAAATCAGCCCCAAATCCTTTATCTCCAATTTTTACTACAACCCAATTTGAAAATGGGGAACCCTAACACCACGTAAGCACGCAAACACACCTCACAAAAGACAACTGCCACATCATCAGTCCACTAACTCCGTTTCCTTCTATTTAACGGAAGGGACTCATTAGAGTCAATTAATTACAAGTAAGGATTCATTCAACTCACTTTTCTATAAAGGGACTAACTTGAGATTTTCGAACCAAAGTGGGGACAAAATTGGGTATTAAACCTCAATTTAATGCCTCTTGTCTTTTTAAACTGTTCTTATTAAATTTTAGTTAATTTATATAATATTTTGATTTCATATATATATATATATATATATATATATATATATATATAATTTGTTTTTATTTAAACCAAGAAAAATATATTCCTAACTCATCCTCTATTTTTATTAAATCCTGTTTATAAGTTGAAATATATATTTAAGATTCTCTATGTTGAAAAATGTAGATGATCTCAATATTATATGTAATCAAATGAACTCATTTGATAATTGAGGACATATATAGTGTGCCATGTTGAACTTATAAGGTTAACTGTATTAATGTAACCATAAAACTAGGGTTACATATTTCTAGGGCTGCCATGTACAATTTCCACAGAAAGCTTAATAAGCCACCATGCATGAACCATGGTTTCTTAAAATCTTAACCCTAACTTAGCTTCTAACTGGAGCAGTCCACAAACGGCACTGCTACTACCATTGATTACCATTGATATTCAATGTTTTTGTTTGTAGAATCATTATTCTATTCTTTTCTTCCACATTGGCAACTACTATTGACTTCAGTCTATGCAGGTTTACTCCATAAAATCTTCTAGTTCTTGATATTTTGGCACCATTGAAGTCATTTCCCACTGACCCCTTCAACACTAATTTTCTGTAACATGTCCATTATCTACATATCTAATAATCAATATGTAAATCACAATTTTCTTATAACATGCTCCTGTCTGGCATTCTGCACAGCTGGACGCAAAATTAGGGCATAATTGTAGTTATATATACTCGCAGATTAAAAGAAGAAAAAAAATCCATGGTTGAAAACCTGGTTCTTGTACTATCACAATAAATATTGAATCAAATTTGTAGTTGCGGTCTGAAACTCTAAGTTGTACTTGCATTTAACACATGATAAAGACGTTGCAAGCAAAGAACATCCCTTCTCCTGGATTATTCTCTATTCAGCACACACTTCCGTTGCAGTCTTTAATTAAAGAAAAGTATTCATTATCTGCCGTACATGAATGGTAATGTAAGATTCTTATGCAGAGAATGTAAAGTAGGTCAAATTCATAGTTCAATATCCATCAATGTGATGTGACAGGATCCATGAAACTTTACACAAACCCTATTTTGAATATTTGTTTTCCTTACAGACTGTTGTTATCATGCATTTTGCCAGTTATTGGATCTTCATATGTATTAACTTTTCGTGTACTTTCATGATGTCATCGACCATTTTGATGGCTCATCTTCCTAGTGTTGCTCATCTCTTGCAATTTATTGATAATTATCTTGTTATGTAAAATTTTGTGTTTGCAGGATTGACTTGTCCGGTTAGTTTTTTTTATATATATAATAATTATTTTAAAGTTATATCTAAATGATTTATAATTGACTAAAAATAATATAAAATTGTTTGAAGGTATGGAGGGCATGACAATTAAATTCATCTGAATAATACCACTAAGCATGACAAACACAAAAGGATCTATAGGAGAATAAAATGAAGAACATTCTAACTCATGACAAAGTAATTCATGCAAGTCCAAAGCATTATCTGTTTCAAGGTTTCTCACCAACCCCTTTTCTCCCAGTATGAAGAATTCATGTTTACAGGATATAGATCTGTTGCAGAAATAGATGAAGTAGCCAATGTGTCATCCACTGAGAGACTCTGATTGTTACTCTCACTTAGATTATTTTCTTCTATCTCTTGGTAATGCTGTCGCATCACTTCCAACTTCTTCTCATCCAATGCCTCACTTGACTCTGAAATCAACTCCTGAACCACAGATCTACCTTCAAGCATGCTTACCACTGAGGACATTGTAGGCCTGAGAGAGGCAGTTACATTGGTGCATAAAAGAGCCACATTGATCATTGTAATAACCTCCTTTTTGTTGAATTCCAAACCCAATCTACCATCAACTAACTCCATTAGATTACCACTCTCTTTTAGCATGAATGCCTGGTAAACAAGGGTAAACAGAATGATGCAATCTTATCTATGTTATATATAGCCTATGCAGGATTCTAGTATAATTGTAGTCCAAATAACTTAAGTAGTCACAAGTAAGGTTTTACTGCCAAATTTGATATTACGTGGAACTATGAATATTTTTGTTCTTGTAGGAAATTAACATCTTTTGGAACACTTTATGGAAGTACTTACCCAATCAAGAAGATACAATGATGCTTCTTTATGTCGTTGAATCACATTGCTCCTCCCACTTATAATTTCCAAGGCCACAATTCCAAAACTATAAACATCTGCTTTGTCAGTCAAATAACCATGCATGGCATACTCAGGAGCCATGTATCCACTGCACAAAACAAATTTTATTAGCTGCATTGATTTAAGAAACGTGATAATTGCTCAAACTTTTGCATTCTCATTTGCTTTTTAATCTCTAATTATACTTGGCTAAATCTAATTCAACAAGGTATGAAATTTGATAACCTCTCTGCTTTATTGCTTCATAGTCTAAAAATATCATTCATAGAAAACATTTCTTCATAAATCTGTGTAGAAAAATCAAAATATAGAAACTCACTAGGTTCCAGCAATTCGGGTGCTTATGTGGGTATTGTCCTCTTCATCGAGCTTGGCTAAACCAAAGTCAGATATCTTAGGTTTGAGATCTTTATCAAGCAGCACGTTAGTGGTCTTGATGTCCCTATGAACAATTTTTAATCTTGATTCTTCATGGAGGTATGCCAAACCTTTGGCAATACCAACACAGATGTTTTGCCTTGTAGGCCAATCCAATTTTATTTGGTGTTCTTCTGGACCTTCATTAGTGAATAAAATTAAATTAAACAAACTGAAATATCATAGAAGGGACAACTGAAATCGGCCACAAAAGAAAGAATTACCAAACAAAGCACGAGCAAGGCTATTGTTTTCCATATATTCATAGACCAACAACAATTGATCTCCCTCAACACAGCATCCATAAAGTTTAACAAGACAAGGATGTTGCAAAGCTGAAATCATGCCAAGCTCATTTATAAACTCACGATTCCCCTGCCTTGATTTGGAAGAAAGTTGCTTGACTGCTATTATTGTCCCATCTGATAAATTTCCCTGCATATGGAGCAATGCAGTATAGTTGTTGGGTTGGAATACTGATTTTTCCCCCAAAAGTAATATCTTCAATTAAAATAGATGCATAATAATTGAGGGGATATACCATACTATCTAAATTACCTTGTACACAGGACCAAACCCTCCTTCTCCAATTTTGTTGGCTTTGTTGAAGTTATTTGTTGCTGCTTTGATTTGTCGTAAGGTAAATATACCCATTTGCAGTTTTAACCCCTTTAGCTCTGTCAATTAAACAAAGAAAGACTGTAGATTTCGTGTGTCAAGAAAATTCCATATTGTTAATACTTTTGTAATCATTGGCACACTGGATTAACCGTCCACTGAGAAATCACTAATGGTTGATAAACAAAGTGCTATATTTCCCAAAGGTCGATAGTTGATGTAGTTGGTGAATGATGGACACCTTAATAAATCTATAGTCATCAATTAGTAGCATCTCTTTAGTTCTCTTTATGTATTCAAGCTTAGTTACCTTGTAAATGAATTCACTTGGTTACTTGTGGAGTTATCACCATTATGTTTAAGGAGTTAAGCAAGAATAAGAGACCAAGAGTGTGAAACAAAGAGTAAAAGAGTGTGAGGGACATAATCAAGTGTCTTGAGTTACAAAACAGAGTTAATAAAAAGTGAGGTTTGTTTTTCATAGAACTTCATTAAAAGTGTTAATAATAGCAATGTCATATACTCTTTATTAAGCAGTCCATATGCTTATTTATTAAAGGTTAACTGCATGCCCTAAATTTAGGCTCATACGAAAACTTATGCTGCATGCAAGAGTTCAATTTTGTACATTAAAAGTCCTGAAGTTGAAGCACAAAGCCTATCATCGTGACAGAATAAGTTATTTGCAATTACCTTTTGCTAAAGAACTTTTCTGTCCTAGAAAGCCTCTCCACCTAAGTATACCAAATACCAGGACTAGAAAAACTACTACACCAGCCACAATTGCAACCACAGCACCTGCAGATATTCTACTTCCGTTTTCTGAGGGAGGGATAAAGTCTGCTTGATTATAATAGAAAACATTGTTATTCAAGAAGTTATATTGCATGGTAACATCCATGTGCTATATGAATATTAAGTACTGAGTGAGAAGTAAAACTCACTAGGATTTACAGCAATTGCTGATATGAGAGGACCATATACTGATTTAAATGGAATACCAAATGTGCCTTTCCCAGCCCAATATAGGCGGATTTCCAATGTGTTGCTGCTAATCATAATGGTAAATGATTTTGTGACTGCTTTATTAACTCCACCTGCTTCTTCTGCAATATTGAAATTCTTGAGCACCATATTTCCCTGCAAGAAATCGAAAGCAGCCTTAATTCCTCATAGTAGCTACAATTTTAAGCATGCAATATCCGAATGTCTTTTAATTAACTGAAGAAATCAAATTCATAAATGAAGTGAGGTACCAAGGTGGGGAAATTTCTCCAGTTGATGTCATATTCTGGGTATTCTGAAGCTTCACATGGATTATAAAAGAACACATCTATCTCTAATCGAATTTCTTTTCAAAAATTGAAGATATAGAATTTGAATATTGCAACTTGAGTCAAGGGCTTTACAATTTTATTAAAATTATACTCATGATAGACAAAATAAAACTACAGAAGTCTGAGATAATTTACCTGAATGTAGACATCAAATATGCGCCTTCCTAAGCTGTTATATGTTTGATCTTCAGAAAACATGACCTCTGAAAAGTGTAGATTCACCGTGTAATTTCCATTTCCCAGGCAAAATCCATAATAAGTAAGAGAAATGGGAGAAACACGTGAATCCATGTATATTTCAGCATCAGCCAAGAAAAGCTTAGATTGATTTAGCCAAATATAATATTCTGCACGGTCATTATCCATGAAGTGACCAGTGCTGCTAAACCCCCAGTTTTTTCCACTTAGGTGGAATCTAGCTGGTCCTGCATTATCTGTATCCTCATCATATGTTTCATTTCCATCCACAGTTACTTGCTTTCCACCACAATTTATGTGAAGAGAGTATGATTCTGGGACAAGCAGATTAGTTAGTACAAGGTATTCTGGGACAAGTAAAGGTTAGTGAAAATTTAGCTGTGTATAAAATCGTTATAAAAAAAAAGAAAAGTAAAACTTACTTTTAGGACAGGCAACACTTTTTAAACATGAAACGGATTCTCTGAAGGAATGGCCAAAGGGGCAAAGCTATTTAGCATGAACCCATCATATAAAATTTAAAATGACCATATGAAAGGGAAATGCCAAAAGATATATCAGACTTACGAGCTATTGTCCACCGAGGAGCTTGCAAACAAGTTCCTATGGGATACAACAGAAGGTTATGACTCAGATAGGTTCTTTAAGTTGCAAACAAATGTTCTCATATGCAATGATTCTTACACATTTCCCCGTTGACATGGCTGCTGCCCTGAGTTTTCCATGCTAAAGTTATTGTACGAAAGATCTCTGGTTCAGATTATAAAATTTGATTCAGAAAATCTAACAAGATGCAAAACAGTTAGACTTCATGAAACTGAGAACTAGAAAGAATGTATGACAATTAGTATAGTAACTCAAAGGTGCCTTCAGGTAAACAATTTAATCAAGCACTTGTCTGATAAGCTCTTCACACATTAAGGGTTATGTTATGACATGATTTTGAGCATGAAATATGATGGAATAAACTAAAAAGAGAGCAATAATCGCAACTAAATAGGTGGTGATCAAGTACTGATACAAACAGAAACCTTACAACCAAGACTAGACTTTTCACATAGAAAAGAGAAGTGAAGATAAAAGACACCAAATGATAACGCTTATAAAATCTCATTCCCCTCAGAACTCATTAACTATTCAATTTAAGGAATCATAACATAAAACAAAACCATTGAAATAAAACTTACACATTTTTGTCTTTTTCGGCCCATGCAGGTACAGGTCCCGTGAGTATGTTTCCTGTTAAATATCTACAATTGAAGAATTTAAAGAAATTAACACATATAAAACTTGTGATTTATCCAAGTCCTAGAATCATGGTGAAAACTTTAGTAATATTGAATCATGCTATTGCTCCTAAATGAAAGTGAACAGCACTAATTGGTTACCAGAAAATGCCAGCCCAGTTTGGAGGAAGAGAAAAAAAATTAACAAACTTCTTACATATAATCTGTCTTTCTTAGGCCATACTCAAAGCTGCTTGGGATTTGTCCACTTAATCTGTTAAAGCTGAGGTCTCTGAAAAAATTTTCAACCAGAATAAGGTGAAGAAAATTAGCTTAGAAAACATTCTATAGTGTAGTAAACTCGAGGAGAATTGAAGTTATGTTTTCTGAAGCATTGGTATGAAAGAAAAATACTATTGAAATTTAGAACTAATACAAGAACATTGTTATAATTAGTTGCACTTCAACATATTGGGAGAGTAACAGAAGTTACAAGGTTTGTAAATTAGACATAGTCCCCAGATATTCAGGTATTGTTCCATTGATATTGCAACTCCTCAGAATTCTGCGAAACAGTAAGATAGACAGCAAAAGAAATCAGTATTGTAATATTTTGTTCTGATCTCAATGTGTGTGCACAGAGCATTAATTGATGAAATCAACTCACAGAATTTCCAAATTTGCCAGATTGTTAAGTTGGGGAAAAGGAAAATAGTCTGATCCCTCTATATCACTAATTCTCCTGCACATCACATTTTAAGCACGGATAAACACATCTAAAATGAAAGTAAATTTAAAACCTCGTTTACTACACAAGATACCAGACATACAAATCTGTTAAACTTTCAAGTAGTGAAATTCCAGAAGGAATTGGCCCACTTAATCCAGTTCCTTGAATCACTCTGTCATAACAAAAGAAAAGTTCTTTGAGATCAAGGGTTTCTGTTCCTCAATAATCATGAACAGTTATCATGATACCAATTTAAATGAAGAAAATATAGATTCTCACAGTTTCTGGAGACTTGTCCAGCTTTGAATAAAATCGGGTATGCTTCCAGAGAACTTGTTATCCCCTAGTCGACAGCATAATGTGATGACAAGAAGCAAAAAAAAAATACTTCAGCTAAAGATGGAACTTAAAATAATAATATATACTAATTAATAGTCACTGATCAGTGTATTAAAAGTAAGAAAATGGGAAGCTTACACATCCTGCAAAGTAGAGAGTCTTGCAAATGTTGCAAGCAACTCTCCAGTAAAATTGTTGGAGGTAAGTAGCCTAAACGTATTAAAAGCAACAATAAATCATCAAGAGAAACCAAGGTCTTCTAATTAAACTAAGCTGTTACTCAACGAGCATTGACATTTGATGTTTTAGAACAAAAATCAAGGAAAGCAAACAACCTAAACAAAGTACTAAAGTTGAATGGAAAAAAAAGGAGCAAAATAAACGTCATACAATCTTTGAATATTTGGAAGATTCCCAAGCTCACTAGGAAGATTTCCAGAGAGTTGGTTGAATTCGAGGCTCCTATTAACATAAAGCCAAAGTTCAACCCAGATGAGGTTATAAATGCTTAAAAACAATGCATGGTGGATAGCCAGAAAAAGAAAACTCACAAACTTTGGAGAGTGGAGATGTTTGCTAGCTCTGGGGGGATTGAACCCGTTAGTCGATTAGCACTCAGAGAACTACCATAAATATGTATTACTCTCAGTGTTTCAATCACAGTAATATATGCAGTGAAATAGAAGGGACATTTTTTGTACAAACGTTTGAAAAATTAGATATTTGTTAAAATCCTAAACTTTGTGAAACAACCTTAAATCACAATATTTGTGAAACTGAGGTAATAGGAAATAATCTTAAACTGCAGATTTTATGAAACAGAGGGAGTAGTAGCATTGTTCGTGTGTGCAGTTATAGATTGGTGAAGAGAAAATTGACAGAGAAACTAAAGAAAGTGTACATGCGGACAAGATTCAATAAGCCCCACTCCAGAGGAATTGTCCCATTCAGGTAATTGCGACTAAGATCACTGTAACAGAGAGACAGTGTCATGCAAAATAGGAAATTAGAAAACACATTGTTGTTGAATTAAAGTGAGAAAAAGTGAAAGAATATCATACATTTCTTGAAGGTACGGCAATCTAACCAATGCTACTGGGAGAGTGCCTCGGAGATTTTGTACTTTCAAAAGTCTGCATGGTCAATTTACCAATTAAATGTGTTCAAATTTGAATGCAATTTAACTTAATTTTCTGATTAAACTTGAAAGACAATTAATGAGAACAATATATGGAAACTTTGAAGTACATGTTAGTAACATGGCAGATTGTGGCATTCTCAAAGGAGCAATCACAGGTGACATTATTTTCTGTCCCTCTCACTTTAGTTTGCGATGTCCAATTGCGTTCTCCACTGCATGGATCAACGCTGAAATCCCAATCCTTCTTCCCAAGAATCTCACCTATGTCTTTCAAAGCTTGCACTATATGCATTATCATTATTAAACCACTCAAATAATGTTAATGGGTAGATCAATTGGTAACAACTACTTGTAAAAAAACAAACTTTATCTAAGATGATAAAATAAATCAAAATTCTTTTTAAATTAAAGATACTTTTCTTAAATTTAAGATTAAGTCAATTTTGTCATTTTTCTTATCCAATGTATGTTGGCTGAGAAGTTGATTCAAATGAACCCTGCTTTGGTTATCTTTACATACCTTCATCTTCTGGTAGAGTGGCTCCAAAAGCTAAAGAGAGAAAGAAAAAAGTAAGTAGGAGCTGAAGGAGGAAGAAATGAGGTGAAGCCATGTTCATGTGGTAGTTGATTTCATGATGGAAAATAGCTTCATGAAAAGGGACATCATGAGTGGTAGCAACAGTACTTGTTCCGTATGGCTTCAGTTTGGGTGAGAATGAGAAACAAATTCAACTCAGAGAAAAGATTTATATGGATATTAACACAAAGTCAACTCTTGAAGAATTTCCCACTTGCTACTTTTATAAGTACTTCAAAAGGAGATTTCCATTTTAAATCAATGAAAAGAGAAAAAAAGGAAAGTGATCAGTGTAATACTTGCTGACACAGTAAATGATGAAGAATTATGTTTCTTGTTGGTTGTATATTTGAATGGTAGGTAGTTGTAAAAGTCAACAAAAACAATAATAATAATAATAAATAAAGCTTTGTTTTTGTTTGGTTGTTGTTAATTATGTCATTCTTGAGTTATTTGACATAGTCATGTTGTAGCTTGTTTGTCTTAAAAAAATTTACCTTAAAGTTTACAACCATATTTTATATACAATAGCTGCAATATTTTATAGGTAAGTTGGTTTCTTGTTCACGATAAAAGGTGGAAAAAACAAAAAATATATGATATAGTTTATATGTATACATATGTTACAAGTTAGTAATAAATGAGAAGGACATGGTAAAACATTTTTGTTTTCGGCATGGGTCGATGTCAAGAGTTTAAGTTGTGTCGTATTGTTCAAGGTTTAAATGTTGTTAGGAGTTCAAATGTTATGTTGAACCGTTTGTTTAAATTGTTGGAAGAATACATATAGATACGTAACCTATCTCCTTATATCAAACTTTTATTTATAAGTTTCGAAACCATTTTTCTTGTTAACTTTAGTCTAAATACAATTTAATTATGTTAATTATTCTTTATTTTTAAGTTGATCAACATTAAAAGTAACATATTTATCGTGATTAATTACCGATCGATTTGTTTGTTAACAAATCGGGTTCACTAATGATTGCCTAAATTACCCGAGTTATAATTGATGGTATGATCATACGTTACAATTTTGAAACCAAAACAGTAAAATAATAAAAAAAATATGAGCATGTTCATGTATGCTTTTGAATGTTTTAGTTTTGATTTTGAAAACTTTAAATATAATTGCCTTCTTATTCGGCCTTCTGAAGCCAGAGCAGCCCAACGAGCATGCCTTCTCTATCTGGGCCTCTTTTGAAGCCCAATTAAATTTGGATTGGATCTACATGGATTCACAAAAGGTATAACCAGGGAATCTTTTAGATCTCTGTTTAGGCAGCAACGACTACGATAAGAAAGCATCATAAGCTAGCTTGAGAAAATAGCATTGCATTAGCAGCAGCGTTGATACAAAGAGGTAGAAAATGCGAAAGTTCGATCCATGGCTCGTTTTCTTCAAGCGCGAATGGGAACGGAACTGGCCTTTCCTCGTTGGATTCGCAGTCACCGGAACCGTAATCACAAAGTTCTCCCTCGGCCTTACCGGTAAATCACCACATCAATCACTCTCTCTGTCTCTCTTTCTAATGAATTTAACTGTGTTTTCTCTTTGATCGAATCGTAATTCAGTAATTCTCTGTCTCTTGTTCTTTGCAGAGGAAGACGCAAAGAATTCGAAGTTCGTTCAGGCGCACAAAAGGTAACCCTATCTGCGAGGCGTTTTGATTTGTGTTTTGGTTCTTTAGTATTTGGTACGGATGTGTTTCTGCCGTTTCAGAGTGTTGAATATTTGAGCGGTTGAGGTTGTTTATTTGTCTTTTGTAGTTTCTGAATTTTGTCTATTGGAAAATGCTGATTCCTCTTTGAAACATTGCTGTACGTATACGTGATGTGTCGTTCTGTACAGTGTTAGCAATTCAAAGTGGCGAATAGAGACAGTTGATTGATATGGAAATTCACTGATTTATTCTAACAATCCATTTGCTCTCAATTCATCCTATTAGTACTGTTTACACTCGACTTCCTAACGGAACCATGATATCGTTATATATCACAAGCTCTAATAGAATTGGTAACCAGCAATTATAATAAAGTTTATCCCTTTTTTTTATAATAACAAAACTCTAAGCGCATTACCTACTTAATTTTTCTACACTTTGCGGCAAAGATGTAAGAACTGAACGTGGACGGGCCCAACCAATTAAAAGATTTGCAAATGCAGTTTTGTTTAGTTCCATGCTTTCTTTGGTGTCTTTGACTTCTTTATAACGATATTTGGATATGATCGATGTGTGAGCAATTTTCTCATTTAATATTGTGTTCGTAATTCTAATAAAGGTTGATAATGTAATCTTTGAAATTCATCGTCCAGAATTACTTGAATTATCTTACTGCGTTGCTCCTCTCACAGAAGGGTGCATTTCCTTTCTGAGCTAGATATGTATAAAATCTAGCTTGTTGTTGACCCCAACTGTTAGCCTGATCACAGCTATGTTAGCATCTTGGTCAGTGGTCATATCAGGCTCAATTTTCAGTTGCCTTTTTGTCTGTAGACAACTGTGACAATGAATGTGCTTGTTTGCTCTCAAACCTGATATGCTGGACAGGAAAATAATCTTTCAAGAGTTGATGGAAGCATATTTTTTAACACTCGAATGACCCCTTTGGTTTATTAAACTGAAGTAATGATCCTTTGGCTATAATTGATGAATTATTAGAGATAACTCATTATTGTCAACGATTTTACTACGGATTTTGCTACTATACCTGATTTGTTTCATGCTCTATCTGTTATGTTATTAGGCATGCGTTTAAATGCAAGAATTCTAATAATTGGTCATTGTGGTGTTCATATGTATTTCAGGTGACTTCTAAATAGTGAGATATGCACTGGCTTTGCACTGTGTTAGATTTGTCAAGATTACTTTGTTTGTCTTGATTCTATGGATTGTAATAACATAAGAGAGATGCTGTGGATGATCTCTCTAAGCCTGTATCCCATGTTTTTACATTCAGTTATGGTTGTGCCAATATCTGGTTGAAGAAAAGCCACAATGGTTATAAATTTCTGATTCAAGTTATTTCCTTCATTATCATACCTATCCCAAGTGTAGTTTTGCCTGTAACCTCCATAATCTTGCGGGAAATTGACTTTTTTAATAGCGTACGTTCTGTGCCTTGCTAACATGTTTTGTTACTTTTCAGTATTGACTGCGGGGCTAGTTATCTTAGTTCACACTAAGCTGATTAATTCAGAGTGAAAAACCTTCCTAATGCTGTGCAGTGCAGGGCAGTAAAATTGCTGCCATATTTTAAAGACTAATTGAGTAGTAATCATTTTGAAAAATAATGCCCAAAACTGATGCATGCTTTATATGGAGATAAAAAAGAAGATTGACAAGGAATATGGACACAATATAACCTGCATGAGTGCATATGCAATTTGAATGTTCACATTTTCAAAATTTGAAGCATAAGACTTCTAAATACTTAAGATTAGAAATAAGTATTCTTGGATAACCATTTTAAAAAGTTATATATACCTCTTAATCTTAGCTACTATTCAAATAAGATTTCAATAATCTAAATTTTAATAACAAATATCAAAGTTTACCCTGTCGTTTTTCTTTTCTTTTTTACTGATATTGTTTTTGGGCAAGAAAAACTTCAATTGAATCATAGCATGTTTGTTCAAAACTTATAATTTCGGCCATAAAAGTGGTAACAAACGGAGAAGTGAGTTATTTCGTTCCCCACTTTTAAGTATCTTCGTTTATCACTTTTTTATTTTAGAATGAAGAAAATGTGTATATATATATATATATATATATATATATATATATATTATTAGTCCGTTGATCCTAAAGTTAATTTGGGACCCATCATCACCCATTGGTCACAGTCGGTGATGCACCCTCGTCAAATCACATCAAACCGTAAACGTGGCTTCACCGGAAGAAAACGGAGGCCCCGACCGCAACCACTTTTTCTTCATAAACAAATTCTAATTTATATGAAATATGTAATGAATTAATCATCTGTCAATAATTGAAATATTTCTTTAAAAGCTATATTTAAAATGTTTTTCAACTAAATAAGATATCAAAGTTTCTCCTTTTTGTGTTACAAGTTAAACAAGGTGCAGTATAATGCTTACTTTCAAGAAGACCATAAACTCGAAATGCAATATTTCAGAAGAATGGACTAACTCATTTTATCAACAGGCTATCATTGTTACTAGCTGTACAGCAATATAAATTTACCAGGAAGAAATCTGTATACACAATACTGAAGGTAAAAACATTGCAAATCGTTTTCTCTTCCAAATCTTACCATATTACAAGGAACAAATCCATTATTTGACACTAGAATCCAATCAACAAAAAAATTGGAAAGGAAATAAATAAATTTCAGAATGAGTGTCTCCAGTGCCACAAAGAAAGTCATTCATTTTTTTAACAAAATACATGTTGTATCAGAAGTTTAATCATCACTCCAACTTGACTAACCAAGAATGGTGTCTATAAAGTTTTGTAAAGCTCCTCAAGCCGTTTTCTTGTCATGGCGTTTATAAAGTTTCGCACGTCGTTGCCTGAACATGTGCAGGTAAAGTTTGAACCAAAGAAATGGATAAGCTACAAGTACAACCTGAATGAGAGAAATGAAGAATAAATTAAAAGAATAAATAATTCATGGACGTACATGAGCTACAATTGAACAGAATTAAATTGAAAGGGTCACAAAGGACATTTGATATGCAGCAAAAACCAGTTTCAGTCAGCTCCCAACACTTGGGTGCTCTTGGAGGAGCTTATATACAGTTAATCTGGACTTATCTTTTTGCATCACCACTTCAATAGTTGTTTGTTAAAAGTTATGAAAATAACTTATGACATGTTTATAAGTTGCTTTTACTTACTTCAATACGATCTTCCGAATAGTTTATTAAACAGCTTACGGAAGACATGCAAACAGTCTAATCTTATTTCCTTTTTTATCATAAAGTCATATTATGTATAGTTGCTTACATTACATGGTGAGCCCTTCTTCAATAAATACTTAATAAGAGTATGCTAGTATATTTATGAAAAAAATATGAAGAAAAATTTATGAGTTTTTCCACAAGTTAAAATTAATTAATGCAGAAATTGAAAATAAAAATTTAAAAAGACTATATGAAAAGAGTTTCTACAAATTAATTTATAAATAAGCTAATCTTAGTTTATAAAGAAATTCAATTGATTTTCTTTCTTATTTTTATCTTCTAGATGTGTTTATGAAAAAGTTTATCTTCTAGATGTGTCTCATCTCTTTGAGGCTATGGATTATTTGTTACTTATAAGAACTTACTACCTTAAGGAAATCATAATAACTAAATGGGAGGCCTGAAAAGGAATCTGCATAGAGATTCTTCTTCTTTATAATTGGAAGCGCCTGGTACATTGTCCATACTGCAATATAATACATATATCAGTTACTTTATGCAGGGGCTGATGGCATTTGATTATGAAAGGAATAGCTAAGAAGTCAAGCCTATAGTAAAATCGATTTAAAATTCATTCAAAAACGGAATTCCGAGATAGAAGGGAGGTATTGATTTATGAACTCACTTTCACCAGGACCCACTCCCAAAGGATACAGCAGAATAAACGTGGTGTACCTAATTAAAGGATAAAGCAACAAGCATTTACTTTGAAAAGAGTACTCTATTAAAATAATCGAAGATATTAACTTTGTTCAAGCTTGAAGTATGTGGCATGTGATAGAAAAATACCTGAGATAGGTCATCCAAGAAGGACAATTTCCCGAACAACTGAAAGCATAATGTGAATACCTAACGACCTGCATCTCCAAAGATTGCGACCCAGTCATCTTTCTTACTTGGAAAATGATCATGATATATTTCTTTTATACCACAATGTTCATGGATCAGACATAACAAACCATTGGTGCCGTAGAAATAAATATCAGGCTACAGTTAACACTACACGCCATGAAAAGTCACCCGATATTCTCTTAAAAAGAAAAAAAAAATATATTATAGGAAACCTATAGGGATGACATAAACTAGGGGTTAAAAGAAGTTTGGGAACATTAAAGGTGAATTCGAATCCATAATATCCTAAAAACTTGTAAAAAGTGAACTTTCATGTGTTATGAAGAAATGTTCCCTGTTATTGCTCTACTGAAAACATCAGACATGATCAACAGTGACTCTTTTTTCGGGTGATACGTACATGAATTGTTGCTTTAAATGGTTATGTAACAACTGTTTAAAGCTTAAAGCAGAAGGTAATGCTAGAAAATTCAATGAACTACATCCAATAATAAAATAAGCAAATTACCTCACCCATGCTCCATGCAAGAAAAGTGATAAAAACTGAAGGAAGTTCCTGGAGCTACAGAAAGCATGAAACAAATAACCAAAGTTAGCTTCTGTGTCTGATTGTCAACCATTGCATACGCGAGTAAACATTCAAATTAGTCCTCAGGAATTTAAGGGTCCTACGTTTCATTATGGTTTTACATAAAAGAAATGATGATATTAATAAAGTAACAGGATTTTCATAAAGTGTTCGCTGTAAATAATTTCAAAAACTAAATGTAGTGGTTCATTCCATGAACAAGAGCATATGGAAACGAAAGTGGAAAGAAATGGAACTATATCATTCAAAATGAGTCTTGCCAACACATGTCGCACTTGTGAAAGAATAGAAAAAAATTAAAAAGCACTTAGCCAAAAAAGGTAAAACATTAATAAATTGGGATAACATTTTCTATTTCTGTGGCATACTGAATTTTGGCAAAACAAAAGGACAAGAGAACTGAAAGTAAGCCATAAAACCTCATCAAGTTTCCGAACAATGGCAAGCACAAAGTGGGTCCTTCCTCCCCATTGCATAAGAGGAAGCAAAACTCCGCTGGGCACAATACCTGAAATTGACTCGTTAAAATTGCTTCTTAAAATTTAAACTAAAATTGTGTTCTACCAACAAAGCAATCCAATTTCATTCACAGTGGTGGCAAACGCACCAATGGCTCCGTGTATAACTTCCAAGAATGCAGCACATTGCAGAAAACCTTGCATCAAGTACCAAGCAAGAGCAAATATTAGGCTTAATTAAACAAATATACAATCTTCACGTTTTAATCTCTACTCTTCTTAAACATTACAGTTTTAGTCTTTACCGCTACACTTCTTAATTTATTTTAGTCTCCTCCCAAAGTAAGTACTAAAACAAATTCAAAAAATTTTAAAACTTTTAAAGGGACTACCATAATTTATAAGGATATCAGTGTAATATAATGTTGTCAAAATAATTAGAGGATTTTCTGCAAAAATGAAAGATATCGAATTAAACTTAAAAAAAAAGTGTAATTTACTTTGTTAGAATTTAAAAATTCAAATAAAAATTTATAAAATTAACATCTTTTTATCTCTAAATATATTACTATTATTATAATCACTCATTGTATCCAGCGGACTGACCAAATGACAAAATGAGATTAATTTCGGAGAATTAACAGCAATGTTAAAACATTCGAGTGACTTATATGACTTTTTTAGCAACATAAAATTTTAATGACTAAATTTGAACATTATCTCGATTCAAAAAAAGTATGCGAAGTAACTAAAATGCAAGCATTGGAAGAATAAATAACAAAAGAGTAATTAAACTGAAAAAAGTTAAAACAAAATAAGCTGAGTGCGTTGTTTTCAGTGTATAATAGAATTGCGAGAAGGGTATTTTGGGAATGAACTGACAAATCAAGTTGCCGGCGGAAGCATAGGTTCCGTTGATGGAGGCAGTGGCGATAAGATTGTACAAAATCTTAATCAACGAAAGCGTCCTGCGAGTGAGAAATTAGCGAGTTAGAAGAGAAATTGAAGAAAGAGATGAGATGAAGAATTGTTATTTGTACCATCCAACGGTCTGAAAGGAGTTGTAAGCGAGAAGATAGAATGTGGAGATACGAGACATTCTCCGTCTCTGGATTTCTCGTTTCGTTTCCCTCTTCTCCTTCCCTAGTTCGCCGGAGATGTCTATAATAAACACTCAGCAGCTACCAATCGCAAGGGTTCACTTCTATTTTGAATCATTTTTATATATTTTTCTCATATATTATATATTTATTCTTTTACAAATATCCATTTTTTTTTCTATCGTCGTCTCTATTATTTATGAATAAAAATAAAATAAGTTAAAGGGCAATAATATCTCAAGTTTTGTAATGGTGAATAACCGTTATTTCTAAATTATATTATTTAATAACTGTTTTTACTCAATAAATATATTCTCATCTTCGCGTCGTTTCCAGAAATTAGTATTTAATTTAAGCAAAACGCACTTCAAACAAGATAATTTAGAATTGAAGTCGTTCAATGAATCAAATCTCATTATAATTAAGTGAAGCACTCTTTTACTTAATTTAGGTTTGATTCGTATTAGTTGTCTTTTTATGAATAAATGATACGTAAGTGCTCCTATTTGCAAAGTTAATTAAAAAAAAATGTTACTGTTAGGTCAATGTTAAGAAAATATCTAGATAAGTGGTATCCAATTCAGCTCAACGTGCATTTTCATTAATCTAATTTTCTTGTTAAATCAAAGCAGAATATTTAAGTCAGGACTAGAAAATTTAAAAGATTACGTTCTAAATAATTCACGCAATTAAACTTCAAATATATAATCTAAAATATATCATAGGAATAGTTTACACTTTATTTTAAAATTTCTGCCACTTTGTTTTAAGAAAAAAATTCTGCAATGCTGTTTTTTTATACAGTTATTTATAGTAAATTGTACTCCAAAAAATTTGTGAAAAAATTATTTTTTATTTAATTCAAATTTAAGTAATCATGTTTCACATTTTAATTTAAATAGAAAATTAACCTGTTGCACAAAAATTGTCACACCCGTACCCATAAAAGTCTATTTTATTTTATATTTAGATNTCTTTTTTCGGGTGATACGTACATGAATTGTTGCTTTAAATGGTTATGTAACAACTGTTTAAAGCTTAAAGCAGAAGGTAATGCTAGAAAATTCAATGAACTACATCCAATAATAAAATAAGCAAATTACCTCACCCATGCTCCATGCAAGAAAAGTGATAAAAACTGAAGGAAGTTCCTGGAGCTACAGAAAGCATGAAACAAATAACCAAAGTTAGCTTCTGTGTCTGATTGTCAACCATTGCATACGCGAGTAAACATTCAAATTAGTCCTCAGGAATTTAAGGGTCCTACGTTTCATTATGGTTTTACATAAAAGAAATGATGATATTAATAAAGTAACAGGATTTTCATAAAGTGTTCGCTGTAAATAATTTCAAAAACTAAATGTAGTGGTTCATTCCATGAACAAGAGCATATGGAAACGAAAGTGGAAAGAAATGGAACTATATCATTCAAAATGAGTCTTGCCAACACATGTCGCACTTGTGAAAGAATAGAAAAAAATTAAAAAGCACTTAGCCAAAAAAGGTAAAACATTAATAAATTGGGATAACATTTTCTATTTCAGTGGCATACTGAATTTTGGCAAAACAAAAGGACAAGAGAACTGAAAGTAAGCCATAAAACCTCATCAAGATTCCGAACAATGGCAAGCACAAAGTGGGTCCTTCCTCCCCATTGCATAAGAGGAAGCAAAACTCCGCTGGGCACAATACCTGAAATTGACTCGTTAAAATTGCTTCTTAAAATTTAAACTAAAATTGTGTTCTACCAACAAAGCAATCCAATTTCATTCACAGTGGTGGCAAACGCACCAATGGCTCCGTGTATAACTTCCAAGAATGCAGCACATTGCAGAAAACCTTGCATCAAGTACCAAGCAAGAGCAAATATTAGGCTTAATTAAACAAATATACAATCTTCACGTTTTAATCTCTACTCTTCTTAAACATTACAGTTTTAGTCTTTACCGCTACACTTCTTAATTTATTTTAGTCTCCTCCCAAAGTAAGTACTAAAACAAATTCAAAAAATTTTAAAACTTTTAAAGGGACTACCATAATTTATAAGGATATCAGTGTAATATAATGTTGTCAAAATAATTAGAGGATTTTCTGCAAAAATGAAAGATATCGAATTAAACTTAAAAAAAAAGTGTAATTTACTTTGTTAGAATTTAAAAATTCAAATAAAAATTTATAAAATTAACATCTTTTTATCTCTAAATATATTACTATTATTATAATCACTCATTGTATCCAGCGGACTGACCAAATGACAAAATGAGATTAATTTCGGAGAATTAACAGCAATGTTAAAACATTCGAGTGACTTATATGACTTTTTTAGCAACATAAAATTTTAATGACTAAATTTGAACATTATCTCGATTCAAAAAAAGTATGCGAAGTAACTAAAATGCAAGCATTGGAAGAATAAATAACAAAAGAGTAATTAAACTGAAAAAAGTTAAAACAAAATAAGCTGAGTGCGTTGTTTTCAGTGTATAATAGAATTGCGAGAAGGGTATTTTGGGAATGAACTGACAAATCAAGTTGCCGGCGGAAGCATAGGTTCCGTTGATGGAGGCAGTGGCGATAAGATTGTACAAAATCTTAATCAACGAAAGCGTCCTGCGAGTGAGAAATTAGCGAGTTAGAAGAGAAATTAGCGAGTTAGAAGAGAAATTAGCGAGTTAGAAGAGAAATTGAAGAAAGAGATGAGATGAAGAATTGTTATTTGTACCATCCAACGGTCTGAAAGGAGTTGTAAGCGAGAAGATAGAATGTGGAGATACGAGACATTCTCCGTCTCTGGATTTCTCGTTTCGTTTCCCTCTTCTCCTTCCCTAGTTCGCCGGAGATGTCTATAATAAACACTCAGCAGCTACCAATCGCAAGGGTTCACTTCTATTTTGAATCATTTTTATATATTTTTCTCATATATTATATATTTATTCTTTTACAAATATCCATTTTTTTTTCTATCGTCGTCTCTATTATTTATGAATAAAAATAAAATAAGTTAAAGGGCAATAATATCTCAAGTTTTGTAATGGTGAATAACCGTTATTTCTAAATTATATTATTTAATAACTGTTTTTACTCAATAAATATATTCTCATCTTCGCGTAGTTTCCAGAAATTAGTATTTAATTTAAGCAAAACGCACTTCAAACAAGATAATTTAGAATTGAAGTCGTTCAATGAATCAAATCTCATTATAATTAAGTGAAGCACTCTTTTACTTAATTTAGGTTTGATTCGTATTAGTTGTCTTTTTATGAATAAATGATACGTAAGTGCTCCTATTTGCAAAGTTAATTAAAAAAAAATGTTACTGTTAGGTCAATGTTAAGAAAATATCTAGATAAGTGGTATCCAATTCAGCTCAACGTGCATTTTCATTAATCTAATTTTCTTGTTAAATCAAAGCAGAATATTTAAGTCAGGACTAGAAAATTTAAAAGATTACGTTCTAAATAATTCAAGCAATTAAACTTCAAATATATAATCTAAAATATATCATAGGAATAGTTTACACTTTATTTTAAAATTTCTGCCACTTTGTTTTAAGAAAAAAATTCTGCAATGCTGTTTTTTTATACAGTTATTTATAGTAAATTGTACTCCAAAAAATTTGTGAAAAAATTATTTTTTATTTAATTCAAATTTAAGTAATCATGTTTCACATTTTAATTTAAATAGAAAATTAACCTGTTGCACAAAAATTGTCACACCCGTACCCATAAAAGTCTATTTTATTTTATATTTAGATTAACTTAAGTTTGAAATGGGTGGATTCCCGTAATTTTGATTTTGATTTTATTAAAAAAATTATTTTATTTACTTTTTTGGATTTGAATATTCTTGTATTATTATTGCTTATTTTTGTCTGGGAGGATAATGATACTTTAACAATATTTTGTTGACAACATTTTAACATTATTTATGTGTCATTCTGTGATTGGTCTATATTGGTGTTTATGATTATTATTATTGATTGTTGAATAATTTTGGACTAATCACATAATGACAAGTAAACAATATTAAAATATTGTAAAAAAATGTTGTCAAATTTTGCCTGCGTCTTGTCCTTACATACGAAGAGTAATAATACATTTGAAAAGGTAAAAAAGAAGTATGAAAACACGTGGGAGATGCATGTAAATTAAGAAAATGTAAAACAAAAAAGTTGACATAAAAAGTAATGTATAAAAAACAATTTCTCTTACGAAAAACAATAACAAAAGCATACACTTCAAATTCATAACAATCTTAACCCACTATTAATAACTCTGAAAAATGTTTTTTTCTTGTAATAAAGCAGAACCATAAGTTCACTAATGCGCCACGTTGACTATCCCGAAAGGTGTGTCGGGTGCATCTGATACTGTTCTTCTGCTTGGAAAGGTGCACACAAATTATTCACGCATTAGCAGTTAGTGGCTGATATGAATTTAATATGTTTGAAATGAAGTGCCATAATGGATAGGTGCCAGACCAGAAATTAAAACTTCATTTTAAAAAGTGCTGATGTATATTTTACATTCAGAACATTCAACCTCCCCTATTGGATGTTGGTTGAAGCAAAATCACAAACACATAGACTACAGTCATATCGGGGTCGATTACAGCTGTGTCACACTATGGAGGACCATGCCGAAAGCTCAAAGACACTGTGCTGTACATTTCAAGCCTTCTTCTTATTCCGACAGATGGCACAGACAACGTTACAACATGATAATGATTAAAAAAATTAGGAATCCCTAGTTAGCCAGTTAGAAATGCATTCCCCTGTTCGTAGCAGGAATAATAGTATTGGTCACTTGATGCAGGAAACAACATCTTGCTACTTTCTTCTTCATCCATCACCCATAAGGGGTGAGAAGAATTGTACTCCCATGATGATGGAGAATAAATCATTGCAGGTGGAGAAGAGAAGTTGCAACCCTCTTGACTCTGCAATTCGTACAGAGGTTGTTGCTGAATAGTATCATCTTCTGACAAAACAATATCTTTCCATATATCATCCAAAGAGAACTCTTCTCCAGCACTGATCAACCCTGTTACATCATCGTATCCATATCCACCTGTGTCGTAAAAGCTCTCCTCTCCAACCTCTTTGGAAGCATGTGAATCCACAGCATGGTTGATTGAGGACAGTGAAGATGATGACGAGGAGGAGGATGGCGATGCTCGTTTTTTCTCTAGAGCCTTCTTTTTCCTCATGAAAGTCCTCCAGAAATTCTTAATCTCGTTGTCAGTACGGCCTGGTAGCTTCCGAGCAATTCTTGACCATCTGCAAGGGACCATGAAAGTGAGCAACGCAATCGAAGTAACCAATTAACAAAATAAGTGAAAAAATTGACAGTATGAAAGGAATGATGAGTGGTGGTGTTGCATAGAGTAGGAAAAGATGAAAATTTGGAGTGATCATAAGCAGGTAGCTTATAGATGAATTTCTGCATGGTTCTCAAACCTATTTCCCCATTTGGAATGAAGCTCCATGACGAGGTGTTCTTCTTGGGATGTCAGCTTCCCTCGTTTGAGATCAGGGTGGAGGTAATTAACCCACCGTAACCTGCAACTCTTACCTGTTCTATTCAAACCTACAACAAAGTGACGTGGTTAAAGGGTGCTTAGATTGAAATATTCATACCTATTATTCACTGTCTCCCTCCACCTTCAAACCTGATACCTTTGCTATAAAGTCCCACCTACGATCTCCAAACATGTTTACAAAATACACCAGTTTCAAGTCCTCCTCTTCTGTCCACGGACCCCTTCTCATTTCTTCCAGAACCATTTTTTTCTCCTCTTCTAACTCTTCGCTTGATAACTTACGGATTCTACCACCCTACTACCACTATTTATATGTGGTTTTCCCACTCTTCCTAATTCTCTCGCTTCATTTTTATAATAAGCAAGTCTGCATATCCACCGTCCATGTGGTGCACGCATGCTCATTCATCGTTAACTTTTCTGTCGCCAATTCAGGATGCTGACGTCACCCATCACGACTACATAATAAAGGAAGTGCATCAATCTTTCATTCTAACTTTCTCAATTACTTTTTATTTGCACCAATCATGCTCACTCTTACAGATTTGCATAAGGGGGTTCTTCTGGTTAATTACTGTTTTGGATCATATTACTGTCGCGGTTAATAAGCTGCAACGTGTTACGAAACATCTCTTATATAGTAAAAGTCTGTCGGATTTTTTTTTTTTATAAATAATGATATTCCGACAACATTTCATAATTTTTTTTGATAATATTTTAATATTATTTATGTTTCACTGTTGATCTAAAATTATTTTAGAAATTTTGCCAAATATTATTATTCTTTTTATACGACAGACTTCAGGTAATCGAGTTTGAGTTGGCTGAGTTTGTATTCAATTAAATTTATGTTGGTTGATTTTGTTTGTTGATAGAATTATTTGTAACAAATTTATTGTTGGACGATGCTTCCTTTCCAAGATCTAGATAATTGTAGTTACAGGTATGCAAAATTGTTGTTATTTTTCTCTCTCGTACCTATTTTATTATATTTTCTTCTTCTTGTATTATTTTAATTATATTTACTATTGTTTAGAGTTTTTTAATTCTAATATTCTTAAAAAAAAATTGGAAAGTACTTATTGTGTCTTAAAGAATTTATGTAACACAACATGGATAAATTCTTAAAACAATGAATCTACGTGATTAAAGAAGTTTTTTTTATAATTTGTCAATATCTTCAACACGACTAAGTTTTCTGAAATGTTTTATCGTCATAAGTTAAATTTGTGAGAAATAAAATTTTCTAAGTGTTTTGGTGTGAACGTTAATAATATTGTTGATATTTAATATATATATATATATATATATATATATATATATATATATATATATATATATATATATATATAT